TAATGACAATCTACCAAGCCAAGACCTTAGAATCATCAACCGGAAAGAGCTGCTGAGTCTACTTTATACTGGTTATAAAGGCCGGTATTGACAATTAATTTCTCACTGACATTCCAGAGCTCTGGTCCTAAAAGAATAAGGATAATGTCAGCAGATCTAATCCGAAAAGAGTGATTGGTGTGCAAGACCATTGTCACCTTTCCACCCCATTCAGCAGGTGGGGTGTGAGGGCTGGTAAGACCATTATATCCAAAGCACCATGGTCAGCATGTATCTGAACCCTCCAATGGTCCAGGTCAATGACCTGTCTAGACTAGCATTCGCTGACACGTGAGAGCAGTAAAGCAAGAGAGTGATAGCTCTTTTTCACTATTTCTCTTTAAAGGTAACATCTCCTTTGAAACAACATTAATTCTTGGTGACGTGCCCATATATGATTTTCAAGGTCACCATCACCTTGAGAAGCTTGCCATTTCTTTCTTCTCAATACAGTCCACAACAGTGGTGGGTTTCAAATTTTTTTACTACCGGTTCTGTGGGTGTGGCTTGGTGGGCATGGCATGGCTTGGTGGGCGTGGCAGGGGAAGGATACTGTACAATCTCCATTCCCACCCCACTCCGGGGGAAGGATCCTGCAACATCTCCATTCCCTCCCCAATCCAGGGGAAGGTTACTGCAAAATCCCCATTTCCTCCCAATCAGCTGGGACTTGGGAGGCAGAGAATAGATGGGGGCAGGGCCAGTGAGAATTTTTACTACCGGTTCTCTGAACTACTCAAAATTTCCGCTACCGGTTCTCCAGAATTGGTCAGAACCTTCTGAAACCCACCTCTGGTCCACAACCCTAGTCATTCCTGACAGTGTCTCACCCATACATTGACCATGTCAGCTGCCATATCCCGCTTGCACTTCACAGACTTTCAGTATCAGATGCCATGAACTCAAGGGGGAATGGAAGAATAGAATAGAATAGAATAGAATAGAATAGAATAGAATAGAATAGAATAGAATAGAATAGAATAGAATAGAATAGAATAGAATAGAATAGAAGTAGAGTAGAGTAGAGTAGAGTAGAGTAGAGTAGAGTAGAGTAGACCAGACCAGACCAGACCAGACCAGACCAGACCAGACCAGACCAGACCAGAATAGAATAACAGAGTTGGAAGGGACCTTGGAAATCTTCTAGTCCAACCCATATGAACATGAGAACCCATATGAACATGAGAACATAAACTGTACCTTTTTGGATCAGACCCCGACCCATCTAGTCCTCACAGTGGCCAACCAACTGCACAAGGAACTCAATACGCCCCAGAAGAGGAAACTCATAAGTCTCCTTCCCCCAAAAAACATGACATTGGGATGAGAAATGCTTAACTCCTGGCAATTGTATGGATATATCCATATCATTTTCCAGTCAACAAGAAAGAAGTAGTCTGCTATTGCCTTCTGAGATGTTTAGTGTAGTCTGGAGTTTTCTTATGGGTCTTTCATCCAATTATCAACCATTCTGCCATTTGCTGTGACTATCCTGGTAACTTGAGAAACATATCCATGTAGTTTGATTGGTAACAACACAGCACAGAAGTGGTTCTCTTGAATGTTTTTTTCCCCAACTTCCAAGTTTAGCTTACAGCGAAGGGACTTCCTGCAAATCTCCTATCCATCTTGTAAGCAGGTTGAAGACTGCTTAGCTTTCCAAGCTTTAAAGTGGAAACACACATGCTGTCAATGCCATTCTTGTAAACTAAAATGAATGTCAAATCTTTCATTTGTTTTAAGGAATCAGTGCTCACATTCAGTACACCAAGTCAGGGGTGAAATGCTCCCGGATCAGACTGGATCGCCCGGTCCAATAGCGATCTTGGCTGTTGGTTTGGCACAGTGATGAAATGTAAAATTTGTTACTACCAGTTCTGTGGGTGTGCCTTGGTGGGGGGGGGGTAACGTGACTGGGTGAGCATGGCCAATTTTTTTTTAACTTTTAAAAGCATTTTTTCAACAACCTTAAGAGGCTGCAGAAAAAAAAAATGCTTTTAAAAGCTTCTGACGATCAGGCAACTCAGCTGGGATCGTCAGAGGCTTTTAAAGGCATTTTTTTCTACAACCTCTAAAGAGGTTGTAGAAAAAATGCTTTTAAAAGCCTCTGACGATCCCAGCTGAGCCGCGCGATCATCAGAGGCTTTTTTTTTTACTTTTAAAAGCATTTTTTCAGCTGAAGAGGTTGTAGAAAAAATGCTTTTAAAAGTTTTTTTAAAAAAGCCTCTGATGATCGCGCAGCTCAGCTGGGTATTGGGGGGGGCAGGGATTTTTGCTACCGGTTCTCCGAACCACCCGCTGCCATCACTACCGAATCGGGTGATCCGGTCTGAACCAGGAGCATTCCACCCCGGGTTTGGCAATCTGGTAATGGTAGCAGAGCAAAGCTCCGCCTGGGTGTCATTACTTCCTGAATTTAACCAGGAAGTAATGTATTTTTTACTTTCTGTGCATGCACAGGTTTTGTACATGTGCAGGTCTGTGCGTGCATGTGACATGTGCGTAGCACGTGCACTTTCGAACCGGTAAGGAAGGTAAGTAGATTTCACCCCTGCACCAAGTGCTGCTACTCTAAGACTACTGATCTGGGAGTAAGTCAAATTCAAGAAGAATGTAGCTCTGAGTTGAACATTGATCATATGATACATTCCTGTGGTTGCTTACCGTTCACCTTCCGTCTTTGATGCGTTGTGTTTGAAGTACGACTTATTAAAAGGTTTCCAAATAAGGATACCAAAACCGTAGGATCAGATATTTGGTTGTATCACAGGACATCGGTGCAATATAAAACTGCATTTATGTCCCAGAACACAAAAAGAACTTTTTTTCCCCCACAGAAGCAAAAAGGCATGTAGGATTAATATAGCAGCTTCCTTCCCCTCCACACAGATGCTGTTTTTGTTAATGGACCCTTGACAAGCAGAGTGAACATCTGCTACAAACATCATATGCAGAAGAGATGCGAGGATTTAAGGTTTGATTAAAGCCAAGACAAACAAACACACACACCCCTAAAAATCTACAGTCTCACATTACAGGAGACTGTAATAATATCTTTCCAAATTAATACTATCTTTCCAAGTTTTAAAAAAAAACCTCAAAGCCACTTGTAATCACCGAAGTATAAACACAGCAAAACAAATATGTTCATGAAAACAACTGGAAATTAGCCATTTATAAACCTAAACAAAAATAACAGCTTAAAAGGAAGATTGCCAATGAAACAAAAAACTAATTAGGAGTCTTTTGTCCATTTTAAACAGATACCAAACTTAAGTGGATTGAAACAGGAATGTTTTGTGGATGAATCTAATTAAAATAAAGAGGAGGCCAAGTGGATCCAACTGGAGAAAATTATAAGGGGTGGGGGGAGACTGAATGGGATAAGGTCCCAGTTAATGTCTTTGCCAAATTTATTGTACCTGCTATGTGTTAAATAAAGTTGGGAAGGGGTCCCTTAGCTTCCCAAGTGAGCCATGGTGATGCATTGGTTAGAATGCAGTATTGCAGGCTAACTCTGCTCGCTGCCAGGAGTTCGATCCTGACCAACTCAAGCTTGATTCAGCCTTCCATCCTTCCGAGCTCAGTAAAATAAGGAGCCAGATTGTTGGGGGCAATATGCTGATTTTGTAAACCGCTTAGAGAAGGCTATAAAGCACTATGAAGCTGTATATAAATCTAAGTGCTATTGCTATTCCCATTTCTTTAGGGCAATTGTAATTGGGCTACTAAACTCAAAATGTCCAATAGATCACACCAAAAGGTGACTTTAAAAGAGCAAAGGAAACAAATATGTGTTTTTCTTCTTCCTTTTAGATTGCTTTCCTTCTTCTGTTGCCTTTCTTGAGCTGCATGTCAGATGGCCTTCTCCATTTAACAGGAACTCTTTTTCTCCAAGTTTGTAAAACTAGGAGAGGTATGATAAGAGAACCAGTAGTAAAATTTTTTGAAACCCACCACTGGTCTAGTTTAATGAAAAGAAGGACTAGGGGCAGGGGTGGGTTCTAATTTTTTTTACTACCGGGTCTGTGGGCGTGGCTTATTTTGTGGGTGTGGCTTGATGGTCATGTGACAATTCTTTAGGATTTAGCAGAGGTACTGGTCTACCAGGCTTTTAACTGCTTGCAGAGCTGTACCGGTCTACTCATTTGTTTTTGGAGGCACCGGTCTACCACCACACTACCTTTTCACATTGATAAGCTGTAGGGCAGCCCTTTGAAGCCCCGCAGCAAGAATTTAAACAGTTTTTTTCCTTCTAGCCAATCAGCTGAGACTCGGGAGGCAGCAATAGATTGGGGGCGGGGCCAAATAAAAGGTAAGAATAATGTGGGGGGGGCGGGGGGGCCAGCTCCCAAACAAATAGAACCAGTTCGGTGACGTCATATCGTCACTGCTACCGGCTTGGCCGAACCGGGCCGAACCTACCACTGACTAGGGGTGACATGATAGCAGTCTCCCAATGTCTTCCAATGTCTAAGGGGTTGCCACAAAGAAGAGGGGGAGTGTCAACCTATTTTTCAAAGTACCTGAGGGCAGGACAAGAAGTAACAGATGGAAACCAATCAAGGAGAGAAACAACCTTGAATTAAGGAGAAATTTCCCGACAGTGAGAATAAACCAGTGGAACGACTTGCCTCCAGAAGTTATGGGTACTCCAACACTGGAGGATTTTTAAACAGAGATTGGACAACCATTTGTCTGAAATGATATAGGGTTTCCTGCTTGAGCAGAGATTTAGACTAGAAGATCTCCAAGGTCCTTTTCAATTCTGTTATTCTGAATGACAATCATCATAAGATGGTGACCATATGAACATAAGAACATAAATTGTACTCTGTTGAATCAGACCCCGATCTATCTAGTCTATAAGTCTGTGTTGACTGGCTCTGTCAATATACTGAAACTTGGGACTGGTTCTTCAGAACTAAGATTATCTTGGCCTCTGTTCTTCTCATTCCTAGTGTGAAGAATCATCTAAGAAGGCCCTGAGATGCTTCCTCTTTCTGGCTAGGACCCCACTGGAATCAAAAGGGGAGAGGGAAATCTCCTTTCAAAGGAATGCAATGTTCTGATATTTTGCGCTTATGAACATTTATAAAATACAGGTAATCCTCGACTTATGACCACAATTGAGTCATAAGCACATAAAGTTTCTGTTGCTACACGAGACATTTGTTAAGTGAGTTATGCCCCATTGTACGACCTTTCTTTCCACAGTTATTAAGGGAATCACTGCAGTTCTTGAGTTAGTAACCCAGATGTGAAGTGAATCTGGATTCCTTGTTGACTTTGCTTGCCGGAAAGTAACAAAAAATGATCACATGACACCCCCCCCCCCCAGAGCCACCTGAAACTGTCATAAATACGAGTCACTTGCCAAGCAGTTGAAGTCTGATCGTATGACTACAGGTCATACAATGGTCATAAGTGTGAAAAAAGGTCGTAAATGACTTTTTTTCAGTGCTGTTTCTAATTTTGAATGGTCACAAATGAAATGTTGTAAGATGAGGACCGCCAAATAATTTTTTTGTTTTTTGTTTAGGTAATGTGGAATTCAGAAGCTGAATAGAGGTTTGAAAAATACTATGCATGGATTGAAGAATCAAAGGAAGGAGTGTTTAAAATTGGGAAAAAAATGTTCTGATTAACTAAGAACTTGGAAAGTGAAGAATTGGATAGTGGACAGAAATGAAACTAATGTCCATGCCTTTGAAACCTTGGTACGTACAGAAGCCATGCTGCAGAGCAGAAAACAAAACAGCATAATTTGATATGAATAAAGAAGCTTTGTTGCTGGAATGCAGGAAGAAGATCGCTAGAATATTTAATATTTTAATAGCATCTTTGAAATGCACAGTAATTGCTTTCATGATTAATTTGAAAAATGGATTTAAAATGTGTTTATTCTGCCTAGAAACATCATTACAACTGATTTGGGTGAGGGGAGAAACAAGACAGTGCTGGTTACATTTTATTAACTCCAGATAGACAATAAACAAGTTGTTGAATTCTGACTTCGAGAAACTGAAAAACGTCTCTCTCTCAGACACACACACACACACACACACACACACACACACACACACACACACATGTCCATGCACACAGACAAACACAGAGACACATACACATGTTAATCAGTGGTGGGATTCAAAATATTTTACTATCAGTTCTGTGGGCGTGACTTGGCGGGCATGGCGTGACTTGATGGGCGTGGCAGGGGAAGGATACTGCAAAATCTCCATTCCCACCCCACTCCAAGGGGAAGGATACTGTAAAATCTCCATTCCCTCCCCACCCTACTAACCTGCTTTCCAGCTCCATATGCAGGGCAACAAAAGAAGACCCAGACGATCAGCTGAGACGCGATCAGCTGGGACTTAGGAGGCAGCGAATAGATGGGGGTGGGGCCAGACAGAGGTGGTATTTGCCGGTTCTCCGAACTACTCAAAATTTCCACTACCGGTTCTCCAGAACTGGTCAGAACCGGCTGAATACCACCTCTGACATGTTTCCTTTCTTCTTCTCCTAATTGCTCTCCTGGATTTGAGGAATAAGAACGGATTAGGGCAAGGATATCAAACTTGATTTCCTTGAGGGCCACATCAGGGTTGTGTTTGACCTGGGGGGGGGGCAGGATGGGCGTAGCTGGGATGGGTGTGGCTAGCATGATGTCACTCATGTCGGGGGGCCACCTGTGGTGGCCCAAGCGCTCTGCCAGCAAAAACGGGCTCCCGAGCTCCATTTTCAGCTGAGATGGCTTCCTGCAACCCTCTGCCAACAAAAACAGAGTTCGGGAGTGTCACTGTGTTCTTTTATTTACCAGCTGAGCTAATTATTTCTGGACTATCAGACTTTCCGTACCTTGCCAAGAATTGTTATCAAAAGCTACTACGCATGTCCATCCACCCACATTCCTTCACACACACTTTTCCTTTGTTCTCCTGCCAGAGAGGTCCGGCTGGACCGGCAGGAGATCTCGCTTGCCAAAATGTAACAATTTATTTTTCTTAGTTAGTGAGGTGTTTTATTTTCTTTATAACAAATAAATGAGCTTTATTAGAGAACTTTTCTTCGCGTTTTATTTCAGAATATTGCAAACTTGGAGAGGCCACGATCCATCCTCTAACCAGGGTGATTGTCCCAGTGCCAAAAATGGGATTAATCAATGCCCTGACAGGCACATGCCCCTTGCAAGCTCCATTTTTGCTGGCAGAGGCACCGCAGGCCGCTCCTTCACTGTTTACAGGGCAGGCCTTGAGTTTGACATCCCTGGATTACTTTACCAAGCACACATACCAAAGGTGCTTTTTCAAGAGGCAAATGGACTTTCTGATTTTTTTTTATTTTTATTTTTTTAAAATTTGATTTATATGCCGCCCTTCTCCGGAGACTCAGGGCGGCTTACAATGCGTTAAGCAATAGCCTTCATTCTTTTGTATGTTTTATACAAAGTCAGCTTATTGCCCCCACAAACTGGGTCCTCATTTCACCTACCTTAGAAAGGATGGAAGGCTGAGTCAACCTTGAGCCTTGGAGAGATTCGAACCAGCAGAAATTGCAGGCAGCTGTGTTAATTACAGGGTGCACTAAACCCCTGTACTATCAAGGCTCTTTGAGCCTTGTACTATCAACCCCTGTACTATCAAACGTCTTTTTCTTTGAAGACGTTTCGCTTCTCACCCAGGAAATGTCTTCAGCTCTGAAGAAGCTGAACAAGCTTCTTGAATGAGAAGTGAAATGCCTTCAAAGAAAAAAAACAGAAAGTCTAGTTGCCTCTTGAAAAAACACCTTTGGGACAACCGTGATCTGGATGACTGAGAATCTCCAAGCACACAAATCCTCAGGATTTTGGGGTTTTTTGCCATTGTTCTCTGTCCCTGTTATTCTGCCAAAGTCCTAATTTATTCCCAAATCATAAAAGCTGAGGGAAAGATAATGTACAGCCTGTCTAACCTCTAGACAACGGCAGCCCAACTGCTGCTTTGCACCCCTGCCTGTGCAAAATGGCAGGATTCCCCTTTCAAGTGGAGGAAATTGTTTTATTAATGCCATTAGAGGGCACTTAGATAACAGGTAACAAGATGTGAGTGAAAAAGTGAAGTTTCTCAGTTTGATTCATGTCAGGTCTTAGAAGGAGATGAGGAGGGGGCCGGAAAAAAGAAGAAAGAGAGAGAGTGGATGTTGGAAATAATAAGGTGTAAAATGTCTGAAGTCAGCTGCCAGGCAGATAATATACTCACTCACATCAAAAGATGTGCAAATCTGCAGGGCGAGCCACCACTTTCACTCTGCGGTCCAAACACTTGAGGATATTTCTACCAAGTCGTTCGGTGGAGATATTTTACCAAAGAAGCAATTGTTTGCCAAGGAGGCAGGGGGATAATGATCCACTCTCCTCATTGAAAACCCAAAACAAGACCACCGAAACAAAGGGCATTTTTCCAAAAACCAGGGCAACAGGAAAAAGCGATGGGAACGATGGTCTTGATGGAGAAGAGATTAAAACAGTAAAAACTTCCATCACTGGAAGTTTTCCAGAAAAGATTGGACAGCCACTTGTCTGAAACGGTATAGGGCAGTGATGGTGAACCTTTTCGGCACCGAGAGCCAAACCGGAACGCGCGTGCATGCATGTGCAGGTGCACATGCCGGAATGCCAGAAACCTGAAGATCAGCTGGCCAGTGCATGCATGCCTGTTTTTTGGTCGTTTTTGGCCATTTTTTAGGCTGTTTTCAGGACCATTTTCGGCCGTTTTTTTCTGGCAGTATTCAGGCTGTTTTTGGGCCATTTTCAGGCCATTTTCTGGTGCCCCAGTGCCCGTGAAAACCAGTTGGAAACGAGAAGAACAGCTGGCAATGGCGCACGTGCCCACAAAGAGGGCTCTGCATCAGTGGTGAAATCTAAAATTTGTTACTACCGGTTCTGTGGGCGTGGCTTGGTGGGGGGGGGTAATGTGACTGGGTGGGCGTGGCCAATTTTTTTTTACTTTTAAAACCATTTTTTCTACAACCTCTTCCGCGAAGAGGTTGTAAAAAAATGCTTTCAAAAGGCTCCGACGATCCCAGCTGAGTTGCCTGATCGGCAGAGACTTTTTTTCTTTTAAATGCCTCTGACGATCCAAGCTGAGTTGCCTGATCATTAGAGGCATTTAAAAGAAAAAAGGTTTTTTTCTTTTAAAAGCCTTTGATGATCCCAGCTGAGCTGTGCGAACATCAGAGGCTTTTTTTTTACTTTTAAAAGCATTTTTTTCGGCCGAAGAGGTTGTAGAAAAAATGCTTTTAAAAGTAAAAAAAATGCCTTTGATGATTGTGCGGCTCAACTGGGCATGGGGGAGGGCAGGGATTTTTGCTACCGCTCCGAACCACCCGCCTCCATCGTTACCGGATCGGGCGATCTGGTCCGAACCGGAGAATTTCACACCTGCTGCATGCCACCTCTAGCACGCGTGCCATAGGTTTGCCATCATGGGTGTAGGGTCTCTTGCTTGAGCAGAGTTGGACCAGAGACTTCAAGGTCCCTTCCAGATTGATTGATATGTAGGAAGTTAAAACCCACCCCTCTCCTAGAAAATGATATTTTAGGAAATATTAAAGGGCAGAATATTTCCCCTAAAAGGTAGGTAGAAACTCAGTCTCCCACCTTTGTTAATGGCCATTAAGGCCTGGGCCAGTCTATTCTACATAACAAAGATCTACCTCCTTCTGGCAGAGCCATTTTATTGCCCTTCATTGCATCACCGGGATTCAACAAACCTAACACAGAGACAACGTACAAAACTAGCTACGACCTCTGACAGCAACCAATCAGGATACTCTTCCTGTGGCCCAGGAAGTTCAAAGCCAGAGAGGGTATAAAACCCAGGGACTCTCAGCATCTCTTCCCTTTTTTTCGCCCAAGATCTCCAAGCCATGTGATCCTGTTCATCAATAAACCTTCTTTCCAAGCAACTTGAATGAATCCAGTGTCTTTTTCCCCCCACTTGGAACTGAACCCAGAAGGATATTTCTTCCAAAAAAGAAATGATAAGAGCAGAGAGACCTGCAATTTTTTAAAGAAGGTGGGGGGAAAAAAGGACTTATGAAACAGGAGTCAAAGGTTTCCTTGGCATTTTGGAGAAGAGGACAGAGCTGACATTTGAAAAGGAGCAAAGAGCTTCACTGCCCTTAGTTTCCTTCCTTGCCCTCCAAACAAACATCACTCTTAGTCTCTTGAGACAAATTCACAGAAAAATAGTTCTCTACCGTATGGTTTAAGTACAGTTTTGAGTTGAAGTCAAGTTCTTATCTCCTCCTCTCCGATAAGAATCATGAGAATAAATTTTGTCTGAAATCTAATCAGGGATTATGCCTATTTTATTTAATCTCATGAAGCATCTAAGAATCATCCAACTGTATTTCTCTTGTTTCATTTCTTCTTGAAATGCTGTATACATAAATAATGTAAATTCTCTCCACAGGTTTTTTTTTTTTAAATTATTCTGAATAAGCTTCTTAGAATATTTTACAAATGCATCACATTATTTTTCCTATATTCTTCTACTCCTGTTGAGATTCTATATTTTTATGGAACAGGATAAAAGGATAACTTTCTTTTTCCTCCAATCTTACTTGACACCACAATTTTCTCTAGGGTTTTTTTCTTTTTTTCTTTTTGTAGATTGTTCAGACCCAAACAATCCAATCAATCATGAACCACAAAATGAAGACCTGTTTATTAAAGATTGTTTATTAAAGACTGTTATTCAAATATATTTTAAAACTTTATTGCATTCCTGCAACATGCTAAATTTAATTCTAACTTTGATGATGATGATGATGATGATAGTTGGTTTTAATATGTTAACAGACCCATTTGGTTGGAGTCCAAATTATTCTGCAACCCAAACAAAGGATTAAGTCAGTCAATTACCATAAGTATGTTGAACAAACATAATTATTATGCATTAAATTTGA